GATTGCAAGTCGTATCAAAATCGTCACTCCACGGCTGAACGTGAAGATAAAATTTCTGAAACTGCTTAGTGATCATCCAAGGACCTCCGACGAGTACACGAACCGCATCATCATGTGTGGTAAAACTGGACCTTATAATACCCGTTCTCCAAATCGACCATGTTGCAACCATTCATGGAAGGCCACAATTGTACCAACTTATTATACAAGAGATGCGGGGGCAACGTTGCGCCCATGACCTTCACCACGACCACATTCTGCCATGCTTGCAACAGCGTTCCGTAAAAATTGTCAGTCAGACGAATATCTGGGATTGGCCCAGAACGGTCGACCGTAACCTCCCCCACAGAGCCACCCTCGCTGCTCTCCTCCTCGGACAACAAATCAACATGGGACCTAGTACGATTCAGCATATCACGAAAACTCAGTTTCGCCGGGACCGGATTTGGCTTGGGCGAATTGTTGTCTCCCCCATCGGCCTCCATATCCACAACTTCTTGGAGCCTGGAATGCTTCACGGACCGTGCATCCGCTGACGGTAAAGAAGTCCTCGAGACTGTGTCCACCGGTTTCGACCGGCCCCGGTCAGGCGGATCAACTTTGGGCTCGGCCAGCGTGCTTCGCGAAGAGTTAATGACGTCAAAGGGTTTTACTTCCACGGAATTCTTTCCTTTAGGTGTTGGAGAACTCAAGTCAACAATTTTGATTATCGCGTTATCTGAATTTGTTAGTAAAAGTACATTAACATATATTTGAACCTTTAGATTCCAACCTGCATTTTTAGCTCATGAATTTTGTACATTTTCTCCGGTCTAACATTATAAGGGAATAGTTTGCAATTAATTAAGCATGTGTCCAAAATTTTTAAATAAACTTATAAAAAATTATAAAGCCGGATAAAATAAATCACGACGCGTTAATCGCCAATATTTTATAATCATCAATCTCTCTCTCTCTCTCTTTTTTTTTATAGGTTTAAAAATCATTAATCTTTGTACAAAATTGAATGGGTGGACAAAAATTCAGTTTTGGTCCTCTAAGTTGAGCATTGTTCAGTTTTGGTACACCAACTTTCCCCTCATCAAAAATAGCCCACTATGTTACAATTTCCATCAATTTTAGTATATTAATCTCGATGGGTCGGATTACGTGATAACGTGAACAAGGATTGAAACGAAGTGAAAAATTATAATCCTTCCATGTCAAAGTCCTATCTTTCTATTATCAAACTGAAATCTTCTAGGCCTCTTAGACTCAACCCCCTCCACATCCAACAAAAGCATACAATGATCAGAAGAAAAAAGAGAGATATGCCTCACCACAGCATTGGGGTGAGTTCTGAATCAGGCAGGGGAAATGAAGAATCTATCTAACTTTTCCTCTATGAAATCCCTTCATTGTCTGTGGTTAGACCAAGTGAAATGGTAACCTATCACTTTGCTATCCACAACACCTAACCCCTAACCAAATTCTAAAACTCTGAAAGCTACCTTCCTCTCTCCTTAATTAATCACCCATTCTTCTCTTGATTGGAGAGGATATCATTGAAATCCCCTCCCAAAAACCAGTGATTACCCCACATCAGGCTATGTCTCAATAGGAAATTCCATTGAGTAAGTCTTTCAGAAGGGTTATTACTAGCATAAACAAAATACCCCATTGGGAATTAGCACTATCCTGAAATCTAAATAACACTTCAATGCAAAATTCATTACACAAAAGCTTCTCCACTATGATGTTAACAGACCAACACATAAAAAGACCTCCTCTAGTCCCTACTGGATTAACCACAACCCACCTATCCTCAAACTTACACTTCCTACACACAGTTTGGACATTTTTTTTTTTTGTTTAAGACAAAAACAGAAAATCTGGGAGGTGAGCCCTAAAAAACTCTTTGATTTGAGAAATTGTAGAGGGTCCCCCCAATCCTCTACAATTCCACACAACCACCTTCATTGATAACCCTGGGACCAGTTATGGCTGATTTCCTCCACCATACACAGAGACAAATTAGAATTTTTAACTTTCTTACTGCTACCCCCTCCCCCAACTAATCCTTCCTGACCAGAACCTATGCAGATGTCAAAGTTTTTTTAGTGCTCTCTTTCCCCCCTTTACTAACCCCTACCGCTTCATTCTTATCAGTTCCCTGATCTAATTTCCCCCCTTTTCCCTGAGCTCTAGGTTTTCTAACGAAAGATTTCTTTTTCCTCTAGAACCCTTGCCACTTACAGTGGCTGATTGGACAGTAATGTACATAGTTGGGATTCATTATGATCCTCCTCTAACCACTTTCTCCCCTTCACTTCTAACTTATATCCCCTTATCTTCAGAACCTTCTGATCCCAGGGTTTCTTCAGGCCTTATAATCAAAATAAGGGAATACTTTGCAATTAATTAAGCATATGTCCAAAGTTTTTAAATAAACATAAAAAATTATAAAAACTGGATAAAATAAAATCACGACGCATTAATCGCCAATATTTTATAATCATCAACCCTTTTTTTTGATAGGTTTAAAAACCATTAATCTTTGTACAAAATTGAATGGATAGGCAAAAATCCAATTTTGGTCCTCTAAGTTGGGCATTGTCCAGTTTTGGTACACCAACTTTCCTCTCATAAAAAATAGTCTACTATATTACAATTTTCGTCAATTTTAGTAAGTAATTCCGATGAGCCGTATTACGTGATGACGTGAACAAGGATTGAAACGACGTGGAAAATTATAATCCTTCAATGTGAAAGTCCTATCCATCCACATCGTCGTTTCAATCCTTGTTCACGTCATCATGTAATCTGGCCCATAGGGTTTACTCTACAAAAATTGACGAAATTGTAATATAATGGACTAATTTTGATGAGGTAAAAGTTGGTATACCAAAACTGGACAATGGTCTATTTAGATGACCAAAATTGAATTTTTCTTTGCATAGGGAAAATATCCTTACATTAGTTATATGTTGTTTTTTGCATCATATAAAAGGAATGCAAGGTCATATAACTCATCTCCAAGCGATTGAAGTAAATGTGCTTCAATGCGTCCTACTTTTGTATTTTTGTCTTAAAGTAATTGACAAAAAACCTTTTAAAAAGAAAAATGTCCTTAAATATATTTCCTTCATTCTCAAATTTCTATAATTTACTCTTTGATGTTTTATTTGGTTTTAATTTGTGTTAGATTTTAATTTTTTCCATTGTGTTATTTTTTTTTCCTTCACACTAATACACTCCAATTGGGTCAGAAAATAATGGGAAGACAGAGGCCAGCTTGTTCCAAATGTGGACTTGCATGTGAGTTCTCATCAACCATTTCATTGCAATTTCTTATATAATTTGCCACAATTTTTTTT